TAAGAACTATATCCATGCCCCAAGAAGTACCTACTTTAAAGACACAAAAAGTATAATCATATGGTATATGGGTTATTAATTGGTACAATCCACTTCATCAGTCAGGGCTAAAAATCACAGGTTATATATTTTTCCAAGTAATTACCCAACTGGTTCCATATTAGGAAATAGTCATTAGGAAATTCTGAGGTTATCTTTCACCAAAGGTACCATAAGCCGTAGGAGCTTGTTATGGTTGATACATTGTGTCAGCTTGGGGAGTCTAGAGGTTTGAATAAGTGACTCAGCAGGAAGCCAGGGTGCTTACTTTGTATACATCCTGAGCCTGTGGAAGAGGAGGGCGTGGAGATTATGTGAGAGCTACAGGCCCCTTGGGTGAGGGTAGCCTGTTTACAATGTAAAGCAGGGAAGGAAGCTGCTTGGCGCCATTCTGCCCCTTTGCTCTGGCTGCTTTGCTGTTTGGCTGCCATTCTCCTCTTTGCTCTTGTTGCTTTGCTATCTTCTGCCTCGGAGCCAGCCAAGTATGGACTGAAACCTCCACAAACTGTAAGCTAAATAAACCTTTCCTTCCTTCATTTTGAGCGTTGGGTATTTTGTCTCAGCAACGAGAGAAAAGTAACCAAGACAGAGCTACGCAGCTCAATAGGCCTGGAATTGTTTCCAGGGAAAAGAACTGATGCTTACAAGTTAAAGGCCACCAAAAACCTCTGTTCGCTATGTGGTGTTGCTTTTACAAGGTGGCTTTTCTCCAGCCAAGTCTCTCTCTTCCCCTGCCAAGACAGCCTGGATGTACAGGTTGCAGAGTGGCTCAACTGCCATGGTTTCCCTGTGATTGGAGGTTGTTCTGAAAAAGAAAAAAAATACTGGTAGCTCCTGTATGACTGACTTGAGATGGCTGCAAGACTTAGATACTACACAGGCACCAGGGCTGTCTTTGGCTGTTGGGCTCTGTTGCAGCTTAGACTTCCCATTCTTCCTTAAGAGCTTCTCTTTCTGATCTTGACCTAAGACAGGACTACCCAATCTACCAGAAAGACTCTAGTAACTTTCAATCTCACATGGGAAAAGGTTCACAATCAATCTCTTTCTTCCCAGGAGGACTCTCCCATGCAAAAATGCCCTGTACCAGCTTGGGCTAACTCAGGGTACTTGGGGGAACACTCGTCAGGATTTCCTGTTTTCTACAGTCCCTTGTGCAATGGGTACTTTTCCCTTCCTTTTTATCAGTAAGAGGGGCTTCTCATGGGACTCTTTTAAGCAAAGATCATCTAGTTCTGGTGACGTGGGGTGTTTCCCTTGCCAGGGAAATGATGGACAGTTTCTCTCTAAATGTGAGCTGCTAAAGTCTTGGTGTTTATTCTGGTGATAAGGAAATGATAAGGAAGTTTTCATTTGCATCATTATGTCGAGTCAATTTAAAAGTTTTCCCCCCTACTACCAATCTCACCTTTTGTATCCTATTTGAATTCATAAAGTCCTTTTCTTTCTAATTTGCTCTAGTGCTGCCCTGACTCAGTTTCTCACTATGTTTATCAAGATTATTTCAAAAGTGTCCAAATTGGTCTCTCTGCTTGAAGTTTCCTCCTTCAGTTCACCCTCCATCTTTTCACTAACATGATCTTCTTTAAGCAAAAGCTGAGGTCGTAAACTTTTCCCCAACTCTAACATACGGCATGTGCTCCCTCTTATAGGCAGGATAAAATCCCATCTGCTTCTACTTAACCTGGTGTTTTACACCCTCCATGGTTGATCTCAATTAGACATTTCAACCTCTTTTCTCATTTTATACTCTTCCCTGAACCTCTATCAACACCAACTTAGACTTCTTCCTTAATCTGTTGTGTACATTTTTGTCTTTGTATCTTTGCACCCACTATATCTTCTCCAAAATTCCTTTTCTGTCATCTGTTTTTCAAGGCTTGCACCAAACTGCATCAGCTACATAATAAATTACCCCCAAATTCAGTGGCTTAACACAGTAAATAGCATTTATCTCCCCAATCTCTGGGAAGTCAGGAATTTGGGAGCAGGCTGGCTGAGCTGTCTGGCTTGGGATCACTCATGAGACTCTGATATCTGAAAGTGTGACTAGGGCTGGAGACCTGCTTCTCACGTTTTCAGCAAGCTGGCACTGTGTCTTGGTGGGAGGCCTCAACCTCTCTCCAGGGCTGAGTATTCTCTGTGGCACGCGGCTCCCCCAAGAGTAAGTGGTCCAAGAAACCAAGGAGGAAGTCACAGTACTTTTAATGATAGTGCCTCAGAAGTCATATACCATCACTTTCACCTTACTCTTTGTTTTTCTTTTGTTTTTGTTTTTTCCGGTACCGGGAATTGAACTCACGACCTTGAGCTTTCCAGGCAGGCACTGTGCCGCTGAGCTAAATCCCCAGCCCCTCACCTTACTCTTTGGACCAGTTCTGATGTGAGGAGAGTAGACAAGGGCATGAACATAAGGGGGCAAGGGTCACAGGGGAACAACTGTGCAGGCTGACTAATATGGTGCTGAGAAACCTCACTGTGTAAAACCCTAGACTGTCAGAAACTTTGTTTTGAGACTTTATCAGTGAGAACAGAAAATCCCTTTCTTACTTGGAGGATTTTAACTATCTGAGTCACTTTGACTTAGAGAAGCATTCTCAATTTGTAGTGCCGAGGTTCAGATAAGGGGTTCACAGACACAATATTCTACATTAATTATAAACTTATGTTTCCAAGGAAATAGAACCTTGAGTTTGCTCTCAACTCAGGTTTAGTACTACATACAGATCTGATTTGCTTTGAGTCTATCAAGCACTGCTTCATTTAGATTTTACCTGTAATCCTCTTTCCTTAAATATAGTAATGTACCATTTCTTCTTGCTTCTTTTTTTTGAAACATGCTTACAATTCCTCTGCTGTGTGGTATACTTTACTGCAGCAAGTTAATAACTAACTTTGCTAGGTTATAGGTTTGGTTCCAGTGGTCTCTATCAGATGGGCTTTATCAACAGCTAAAATTATTGCAGTTTATATAAATTAGTTAATTTTTAAAAATTACCCATGCTTCTTGAATAAGGATACTTTTTAGAACATCTTGTCAGAGATTTCTACCTTTGTTCCAATATACATTTTATATCATCACCTACGATACATACCTAGAGGGCTGAAGATATAGTTCACTGGCAAACATGAGGTTCTGAGTTTGATTCCTGGTACCAACAAACAAAGATACATATCTATAAAACACTTGAATAAAAATTTCTCAGAACAATCATTGAGATGTATTTACCTAATGGGTTATGTTTTTGATTAACCTTGCAAATACTTCCTTTGTAATTGTAAACTCCAACATGATTCATTACATTCTCCCCAGGTTTCCAACCCCTTCCACATGACTCTGAGTTCGAAATTTTCTGTTTCCTAGTGGCTTCTGTGGTCCTTCAGGATTCACCTACAAAACCACCTTTGTCAACCCTTAATTGAAAACTCTGGACAGGGGCTGGGGATTTAGCTCAGGGGCATAGCGCCAGCCTGGCAAGTGCAAGGTTGTGAGCTCGCTTCCCGGTACCAGAACCCCCCCCCCCTCGCCCCCAAAAAAGAAAACTCTGGACAAAACTATGCATTTTTCTTTTTGTTTCTATTGTCATAGTGCCTTCTTCATAGCTCTAATACAGCACTTACCAGTCATAATTGCTTTTTCACATTCTTCTTCTCTACCAGCCTCTGGAGAATAGGGATTATTGGTTCATCTTTGTATTTTGGCACGTTACATGTGCCAATGAAAATATCCACACGACAAATGGAGAATTTAGTAGAAGCTCCACTTTTACATAATTTAAGAAGTGTCTGTCAAGTATCCCTACATACAAAATCATTGCTGTATCTGGTTTTGTGATTCTTGTAACCTGTATTGGGCAATCACCAATTTATACTGAGAAAACATCTAAGGCACCACAATCTTGCTGGCTACGTTAACAGGTAGGCATCTTTAAAATGTGTAATGTGTCATCGTGGACTTTCTTTCTGACTCTTGCTTTTCTCCCCTGTCTTCAACTAAAACAGCAATTCATTAAGTTACTGTGTATGTAAGGATAACAAATTCTGCATCACAGGGGTCGGACAGGAGAAGAATGCTGTAATCTGTAAAGCTTTTCTGCTTCTGGGAGTAAGGCCAACAATAGTACAACGCACGATTGTTATTTCTCAATGCCCCTTTGCAAAGCAGTGTATCTCAAACTTTTTGTTCAACCAGACCTACATAAAAAAATACATTTTATGTTGCCACCCAAGATACATACCTAAAGAACACTGGAAGACAAATTTCTCAAAACAACTGCATTACTAAGTGATGCACTCTAAGATTTTTCTATTGTGTGCTCATTAAAAAAAATAAAGTCGTTGTCCCCATCTACCAAACTAATGGCCAGTTCCTTAGAGATTATCACCCTTGGTTTTCAAAACCCTGGTGCATAAAAAGGCAGTAGACTTATGGTCATTCTTCCCACATCTCTCCCTTCTTTGGGGTTTCCGATTGTTTTGTTCCTGTCCAAACCATTACAGTCCCTCCCATTTTGAGCAAATGCTTGTGATGGCACCTCTCCCCTTCCTCTCGGCTCCTTTAAGAGGGTGGTAAAGACCTGCTACCGGTAGGTAGACGGCTGGAGGAGAGGCAGGGCCCGCTGATTCCAGCCCGGCCGGGCCAGCTCTTCCAGTTCTTGTGCGAGCCAGGGAGCATGCTCGGGTGTGCGCGCGCGGAAGGGGGCGAGTAGGGTTGAGGCGAGGCAGCAGTCCCACCTCTCCGGGTGGGGGGCCCTCTCTGCGCCGAGCTTCCGGCGCCCCGGCAGGGGTCCGCGCGTGCGCAGGGCGTGCCCCAGGACTGCCCCAGCCTCGCGGTGCTCGCGCGCGCTCTCGCCGAAGTCTGCGGTGGACTCTGGCGCGCGCGGTGGCGCTGGGGGCGCGCCCCAGGGGGCGGTTCTGCGCGGCCGGCCCCGCCCTCCCTCCGAGCGGTGCTCTCCTCCCAGTCTCCCCCGCGCTTCCTGCAGTTAGGGAGTCGCTGCCGCCGCCGCCACAGCTGCCGCCGCTGCCGTGTCCTTTCCGCCGGCTCGCTCTCACTGGAAGTGCCATGGCGGCCTTCAGCAAGTACCTGACGGCGCGGAACACCTCGGTGGCGGGGGCCGCGCTCCTGCTGCTCTGCCTGCTGCACAGGCGGCGCCGCGCTCTCGGCCTGCACGGGTAAGGCTCGTGGCCCGCCGCCTGTCCGGCCATAGCGGGCGCTCTCTCCCCGCGGCGCCCGGCCCGCGAGTCCTGGCGCCCGGCGGGGCCAATGTCAAGGCGTCCGGGTGTCCCCGCGGCGCCGGTGCCCCGGGCGTCCCGCGTCCCGCCCTGCCCGTGGGGCCACCATTCCATTCCGTTCGGGTGCGCAAATTACCGCGTCTGTTGTGCCCGCGAGCAAAGCTGGGATCTAGCTCCGAGGCAGTTGTTCGTTGTCTTGGGTGCGGGGAGCAGAGGCAGGGTCCTCCCACCCCTCTCCTAACCACCCCCTTTCTCCTGCAACTTTCTGCCTGTGTTCTGGTTTGCTCTCTCAGCTTCACACAGACCGTAGGATTTGTTGTGTGGATGTGGGCGTGTGATTTGTGATTTCAGCATGGGGATTGGACTCGCCAGGTTGGACGCTGTTGTCTAAGTCCCTTGAATGAAATTGGCTGTACTCCCGAGTAATCGCCGAAGTCGCCAGGGTGGTTCCTGTGAGCTTTCCGGGGTCTATTTGACAGGTTTTTCTTCTAAAGTGGTGCCTCTTTGGAATTGGCCAGTGAACGACAACCTGACGTTTAATCTGGAAAAGCTGGATTGGTTTCGTGGTATTCGGAGGACAAAGTTCCCTCCCTTGTCTCTAGGTGAAAGGTGAAAGTGTATTTTAGGTGAGGCTTCCACCGCGAGAGCAGGTTAACGTTTACAGTTAACTTTTGGGAGCTTGCAAGATTGGAGGAAGGAAGAGAGAATTGAGTTACGGTTGTGGGTTTACAGACACCCCTGCCCCCAAGCTTGTCTTCAGCAAGTCAATGAGAAAAGTTTCTTCTCTAGCCGCCTTATCATTGGATATTTCATATTAAATCTTAGAGTGCTGCTTTCAAGCATTTTATTTCATTCATCCCGGTGGGTAGATGCTGTTCTTTGCCGTTTTTGATTTCTCTAAACTATCTAATTACTAACAGAATTTGGACTGAAAAACTGATAGGTAGCTGCTAGTCTCCCTTCCACAAAGTACTTTTAGTCCTTCTCTTGTCTAATTCATCTTCCTAATGTTTGAAATGATGGCCTTTTCCTTCCTAAATCAGCTTGTCACAGATGAAAATGATGTGAATCACAGTCTGGACATTACGGCATGTATTCACTTATATTCAGTGTGTTTTCTAAAAGATTTCTGGAAAATATAAAGCAAGTATTTCTAGTTACAAATGAAAGTTACTATCTGGGAATATGCTGTTAAAAATGTGAAATGCTTTAACTTGAATTACATTTTGCAGGGAAGTATTTCAGTACGTAGAACATTTTAACATGGGGGAGGGGACCCAGGGACAGCTAACACCTTCGGCTTATTTTGATTTTTTTAAAGAGTACCTTTCTTTACTGGAGTATTACATACATATAGAAAAGTATACGTATCATAAATGTAGATAGAGCTTGAAGAGTTTCCACAAATAGAGCATACTAATATAATTAGCGTCTCTGTAAAAAAATAACATTATCAGCACCCCAGAAACTCTTCAAGCCCCCAGGTTGTCCCAGTCTAGGGCAACTATGCACTGATTTATGTGACCATAGATTTCTTGAATAAGAAGAATTTTAAACATAATCTAACGGGGAATAGCAGTAATATCAGTAAAATAGGATCATAGTACTTGTCTTATTAAATAATTGTAGCTACTCATACCTTGTGAAATTCCTTAAAAATATCTCTTTGAGCATCTTTGTGAACTTTTGAGGGGATTGAATTATACAACAGATAATTGCTGAACAAAAGATTGTTGGTAATCTTTTGGATTGGAATGAATTGGAAAAGCTTCGTTTTATACATAAAATTTTTTTTGTAGAAGAATAAAGATTAAATGTGAGTTGTAAGTTACTAAGACAAAATGATGGAACTATTTTGAATGGTATAACAAATGGTATTGAGTCTATCGTTATAGATTGTATACTTCCAAAATCTTTTTTGTTTTCTTCCGGTACCAGGAATTGAACTCATGACTTTGCCAGGCAGGCACTGTGCAGCTGAGCTAAATCCCCAGCCCCATATTTCCAGAATCTTATGCCTGTCTTTTAGTTACTCTTTTTGCTATCAATTTGAAGATAAGAAAATTCTGGTTGTTTGTTTTTGTTTTTTTGAGTGAGGGTTTTTTTTTTTTTTTTTTTTTTGGTACCAGGAATCGAACTCACAACCTCGCGCTTGCCAGGCAGGCGCTGTGCAGCTGAGCTAAATCCCCAGCCCCAAGATAAGAAAATTCTAACCTTGTGTTTCACTGGCTTTTTGCATATCTTTGTTAGTAGGACAATTAATATTAATGTGTGGTGCTTAATTAAGGAACGTGGTTACTAGATCTTTTTTGTCTATGTTGTCATCAGTAGGTTTGGCTTGGACTGTATATTAAAATATTTAAATGTTAAAATTACTGTTGGAATTGGATGGGTGATAGAACTAGTAAAAACACTTGAATAGTTATAGTGTAACATTATTCCAAACTTTAGGAGACTGAATAACTTAATATTCTGGATTATTTTAAATTTTTGTTAACGTAATTATTTCAACCATTAATTTTTATTTTATTTTTTTGGTACCAGGAATCAAACTCAGGACCTTGCACCTGCCAGGCAGGTGCTGTGCCACTGAGCTATATCCCCTGCCCTATTTTGACCATTTAAACCTCATTCACATATACACATAATCTCTTATTACAGAAAATTTCACACATATACAAAGTAAATGGAATAATCCCTGTTCATGTTACCTAAGTAAAATGTTTGTTTCATCTATATCTACTTATGTTTACCCTTTTTATAGGTTTTTAGATAAAATTTATATACAGCTAAATATATAAATCATATATATATTTAGACAAATGGATACATTTGTATAATGTATTGCTGTCTCAAATTATAACATTTTTATGTCCCCAGAAAATTCCTTCATACTCATTCTTAAGGATTTTGCATCACTTTTGTGCTTTTTTTAACTTTAGTTTTGCCTAGTCATACATTTTACTTTATTATTTATAGGGAAAAGTAGAATCTTTGCATTCATGGATAAGAACCATTATTCAATTCAAAGGAAGTATCTGTTTCACAATGTTGTAGTGGTGTGCTGGGTTCTGTTGGATACATATATGTATCACATACATTTTAATAATATAAAACGTCACTTCTCAGCTTTTTTCAGGGAGAAGAAACTTAAACACAAAGAATTAAAATAAGATGATGACAGAAGGGTCAGGTGAATGTCTTCATGTAAGGTCAGGCTTTATGTAAGATATGAGCTAAATGTAAAAAGGGAATGGGAATGGGTAACCAAGTTCATTGAATGTTATAGCAGCCCTTAACAGAATTTTGTTGCATTTATAAGGAGCAGAAACTTTTTTGTGCCCTTTTAATCCGTCTTCCGTTGTGACCAGAAATCCCCTCCCCCCTGCCCCCGCCACGGTACTGGGAATCGAACTCACGACCTTGCACTTGCCAGGCAGGCACTGTGCCGCTGAGCTAAATCCCCAGCCCCTATGACCAGAAATTTTTAAGAAACACAGATATCATATTCCCTCATTAAAATGTTTCATACATTGTAAAGTTTATAAAAATGTGTTCATGATTTGGTGCTTGCCTACTTTTGTACTCATCCAACCATGTAGAATTAACTTGTAGTCTCTGAGATAACAAGCTCTGTCCAGCCTTTACAGTTTGGTTGGTATCATAAGTGTCCTCACCACTACCCCACTCTCTGACGGTTTTGAGATTCAATTCAGCAACACTTTCTTTTAGATATTTTCTGGCTTTTCCCTAACTCCAAACTGATTTAGCTGTGTACTCCTTTAAACTACTCTAGCAGTTACCACTCTCTGTTGCACTTGTTTCAGTTCTTGGCTTCTGCCTACATCAGACTTCGAGTTTCTTGAGGACATAGGCTGTACAGAGTGGATAATTGGGTGTGGGGTAGTTACAGAATTTTTAGGTTAAAAATTTTTTAACCTAAAATTTTTTAGGTTGAAAGGCATTGGAGATGTGGGGTTATATAGACATGACCTGGGTAGTGGGAAATTAGTGGGCCACTTTTAGAAGGCAGAGAAAGGGATCAATCTGCACTGTTACAGTATTTTATTATCTTAAATACATAAAACAGGACAAAGTAGTTTCCTTCCTTTTGCATCGGTACTTGTGAAATAAAGTTCAGATTTCTCATCGTGGATTTCAGAGCCTTCTTGAATCTGGTGTCGTCTTTCCTGGCTGATGTTACGTGTTATTACCTGCCAATGGGCACTGTTTCTTCCAAATAGGCCAGTTTCTGCACTGTTGTTTGAATAGGCTACCCTCATTCCTGACTATGGAGCTGTAGCCATGCTATTAACCATACGTATAATTTCTCTCTTTGTATTCTCTTGTTATTCAGCTCTTAGCATTGCTGAAGGGCTAGTGCAGGGTGACCCCTACTATGACATATTCAGCTACTCTAGATGTTCTAAGTCATGATCAGCCCTGTTTTAACTTTCTGAAGAAAACATTACATACCTTTCTTTTATGTATATGTTGCTGAATGTGCTGAAGTATACCTTTATCTTTCATCTTTTTAAAGCCTCAATCTTTAAATGATGGGTCAGTTTTCTTCCTCATGTATTTCTGTGGAGTTTGAGAAAGCTCATGTTTCTCAGTCAAACCTTATTTCACATCTTCACTTTGCTTTCACTCTGGTTAAATCCCACTTATATCTTGTCTTTTGAGCCAGGCTCTTTGATACTTTTCTTGATTTCTCTAAAGCATGAGTCATATGCTTGCAGCTATTTGTAATAGAGTTCTGTTGAAGATGTGGGAGTAGTGACAGGGTTTATATGTTAGCATAGTCAATGTCTTTAAAATTCTTTTCCTTAAGAACTTCCTTGGACATTCCCACTGTTGGAAATTTCTTGGCTATTTTTATTCCTGAATCTCAGCCATGTGGGCTATAACCAGGTCTTTTCTTTATCATTTGGATCTCC